CCACACCAGCGCTGTGCGCCTGCGCGCCGACGTACCCACAGGAACACACGGGCGCACTGAGGACGTGACCTGTGGGGCTGCACATGGTCGCGCCATGACAGAGTGTCTACGCCGGCTGTCCCTGGCCACCGCACTCCCCTGGACAGCAAGGCCGGAGGCAGGATGGCGCTTTCTGATTGGTCACCGCGAGCAGACTCAGGTACTCAGAAGGCAGGGCTCCGCCTTCAGGCCCTGTAAAGCCATCCAGGGACTCCAAGCTGAGAAACACCAGATACTGGACCGGATCCTTGCTCTGAAGCAGACAAAGGTCGGTTTTTTTTTTGGGGGGGGGGTTAGATTTCTAGACAGGGTTTCTCTGTGTAGCTTTGGAGGCTGTCCTGGAACTCATGCTGTAGACCAGCCTGGCCTCGAACTCACAGAGATCCGCCTGCCTCTGCCTCCCGAGTGCTGGGATTAAAGGCGTGCGCACCAATGTCCGCAGGCCGAAGGTCTTAAGGAAATGACTTTTAACTTCCTAGACCGCAGTTTCCTGCTCTCTGAGATGGTGACACAAGGAGCACATGGCTGGACGTTGTGGTGACGTCAGCCTCTGACACCAGCTCAGGGGAGGCGGAAGCAGGACTTCAGGCTCCACTCCGAACTCCCTGTATGCTAGCTGGTGGCTTTTCCTCCTCTCACAGCCAGAGTGAGGAGGCAGAGAATCTCATTTCCCAGTTGTATGAGGCAGAACTACCAGCGAACACTCGTTAATAAAGCAGTTTTTGTCAATCGTATTGTTCTGTTGGTAAAGTACTGTGGGCATCCTCACTTTAGCTTTTTTATTATTATTTTTGAGAAGAGAAAGTAAACCTAGTTCCTCTCAAATGGTAAGTGCTCTACCACTGGGCCACGCCTCCACCCCCTCACTGGGGGATTCTAGGCAGGGGCTCTAAAGACAAACTGTCATTTCCCGCTGTCTTTTTTTATTTTCTATTCTGAGACAGCGTCTCACTAACTACCCCAAGTTCATTCTGTGACCCAGGCAGGCCTTGAACTTGCAGTCTTCTTCCTTGGTCTCTCTAGCAGCTAGAATTACAGGTCTGGGCATCAAGCTCACTCTTCTGATTTCTTTCAGTTTGGAAGCGGTGGGGGGGGCAGACACATGTGAGGCTACGGCTTTCTTACGTTCCTCTAGCATTATCCCCTGGGCACTGGGTAAATCCTTGAAATGGAACCCGTTTGTGATATGGTCATGTGACTGCTCTACTGTGGCCAGCCGCTGTGGCACGTGTTAGGCTTGGGTCACTGTGTCTCAAAGCACCACGGGGCTGGGCACGGTGACAAAGTTACACCTGGGCTTCAAACAGCTTACGGCAGACCTAGAGGCGGAAGCCACGCAGCAAGCAATGTCGAGTTGTCATCGACATTGAACACCTACGACAGCCCTGCAGCGGGATCTAGAGAAGGGCTCGTCCGTGGTGACGCACTGCCGTGCCCCGTGTTGGAGGTCCAGGGTTCTGAAGGCTGAGAACGTGGCCTCTGGCAGCCCTCAGACTGGCTAGTTCATATCGCTGCGGGGCCGTCAGGGCTGTGGCGGGGGCCGTCAGGGCAGGTCACCTGGCAACAGTGGCTGTCCAGCTGTGCACCACACTTCACTTGTTAGAATCAGGTGTGCTGAGTTTCTTCTTTAGTATTTACTTATCGATGTGTGTGTATGTGTGCATGCCCGCCAGTGTGCAGGAGTCTGTTCTCTCCTACTACAGGGTCTGGGGGGTTGAACTCAGGTTGTCAGCAGGCATTTACGAATTTTCTTAGCTCCTCCCTGTCCCCTGCTTTTTAAGCCTGACTCTGTAGCCCAGGCTGACTTAGAACTCATGGCGATCCTCCTGCCTCGGCCTCCCAGGTACAGGAAGTACACCACGATGCCTTCCAGGGCAACTGCTTCTACGTCGTCTAAGACAAACACAGGTTTCCCTGCCTCCGGAAGCCTGGCAGCCTCTCAGATCTGGGATGGGCGATGGGGGATGTCCTTCTGTAAATATGTTTCTCTTATTGGCTGATGAGTAAAACACTGTTTGGCCAATAGCCAGGCAGGAAGGATAGGCGGGGCTACGAGAGGGAGGAGGAGGAGAGGGAGGGAGGCTGCTGGGACACCATGCAGCAGAGGAAGGACTAACAGGACCGGACCCTTCTCCGGTAAGATAAAACCACATGGAAATCTTAGATTAATAGAAATGGGCTAATAATTAAGATGGAGCTAGCCAATAAGAAGCCCTAGCCAGCAGCTTTATAATTAATATGTCTCTGTGTGCTCATTTGGGGCTGAGGGGTGGTGGGAGACCTGGCGGACAGAAACCTCCATCTTCAGATGGCATTGGCAGGCGTGGGCTGGGTGAAATACTTCCACCTTCCAGCGGCATTCAGAGTGCACACAAAGGCTATTCAAGGTCGCATCGTGTGACTGAAGGAGCGCTCACAGCTACCGTTTTCCAACGGCTGGCTCATGTGGCCAGGAACCAGGGCAGAGCCCTGCCCCTGTTAATTTGGAAAGTCAGGGCTCTGTGGAGTCTGCATTCTCAGCTCAGATCCACCAGTCAAAAGCCTTCATAGAAGGGAAAGCAGACCACAGGCAGTTGGTAGGGCTGGGGTCTGAACAGAGGCTGCCTGGCTTTGGGGCTGACATCCGTAAGCCACACGCTGGGCTCCGTCATGGAGGCGTAAGCGTAAGCCAGGCAGCAGTGGTGATCAGGAGGGAAGTGTGTGGAAATTCCTGCAGTGGACACCAAGGCTTCCCTGCTGGCTGTGGTTAAATCTGCCTTCTACTGACTGAGAGCAATGAGTTGCAGGGGCCTGGGTTGCGTTCCTGGTGGCCACGTTGGCCCATATCACCACCTCCTCAGAGCTCCCACAGCTCATCTGCAAGGCAACTCCATGACCCTGAGTCCCACGCTGGGCAGAGGGGGTGCTCAGGTGCTCAGGCTGCTGGATATACTTGCCTGCTGTGAAGTCCTCGCAACTCAGCTGGCCCCACCGCAAACTCAAGACATGGTGGGTGAAAGCCACTCACCGGTGTCACTGCTGTCGCTGCCCTGAGCGTCTAGGACACCTTCCGCACCATCCTCAGATGCTCAGACTGTGTCTGGCACGGGGCTGACCCAGCTTTGGCCAGTCCCTGCATGGCCGTCTGTCCCAGGCTGGTTAGTGTTTAGGATTGGGTCTCAGGCCTGGCTGTTGGCCAGTTTCTCTTGACCTACTCAGGGGCAAGCTCCCAGCCAGAGGCTGCCCTCCCGCAGGCTGGGTGAGCAGAGATGGGCCTGGTCACGGATCCGTGAGACAGCCACGGCTGGCCTGGCATTTGTGACTGTGCTGCCTCTTTGGAGCGGGGGCTACACATGTGGGTCATCTTGTCTGGCTTGAGATACTTGTCTTGACAGGGAAGGGCTGTGTTGCTGTAGGTGGAGAGGGCGGCAGGGTTTCCGCAGCTGGGGCATGGCATACGGATTCGGAAGCCCCGTGTGAGGGTGCAGCCCCGAACGCCACCTGCAGTACGGATCCCAGTGTCCGTGTATGCCCTGACTCTCGGTGCTCCAGATGTCAAAGCGAGAACATGGTGAGTTCTCCAGAGCAAAATTCTGGATTTCCCTGAGTCTTCCAGCAGAAGCATGATCAACTGTGCTGACAATACAGAGGGCAAAATTCTGTATATTGGGGGCTGGAGAGATGGCTCAGTGGTTAAGAGCACTGGCTGCTCTTTCAGAGGACCTGGGCTCAATTCTCAGTACCCACATGGTGGCTCACAACTGTCTGTAACTCCAGTTCTAGGGGGTCCAACAGCCTTACACAGACATACATGCAGGAAAAACACCAATGAACAAAAAAACAAATTAAAAAATATTCTGTGTATCATGTCTGTGAAGGGAACCAAGAGATGGCTGAACAAACTTCCTGCTGTTGGTGTGGGTTCCATGATGGCCAGTTAAGAAAGGCAAAGCAGGGGACTGGAGAAGAGACGGCTCAGTGGTTAGAGCACGGCTGCTCTTCCAGAGGACCTGCGTTCAATTCCCGGCACCCACATAGTGTTAGCTCACAACCACCTGTAACGAGATCTGGTGCCCTCTTCTGGTTTACAAGGATACGTACCGACAACACTGTATACATACTAAACAAACACATTGTAAAAAGGCCCAGCTGCAGCGGTAACTCCACAACAAAAGTCAGATCAAAGAGGACATAGGGAGTTCCTTTGCTCTGAAGACAAATAGCAAAGGTGAGGCGAGGCTTCTGCTGTCACAGGTCCAGATGCAAAGGCGTGTGCAGACTTGTGGCCCAGGGCCGCATCCAGTGCAGACGACACGCACAATTCTCCAGTGTGTTTGTAAGATATTAAAAGGTGTTTGCTCAAAACACACAACCAACCAACCCAGAGGGGAGTCTGGGAACTGAGAGCCACAGTGTACCTGGGGTCTGGACCTGAAGCCGTGAGCTCTGCTGTCTGTGAGTAGAGGGTGTGTACCCTGCTTGGGGTCTGAAGGCCTGGTGGGACCTCAGCTCTCACCCAGTCAGGGGGGCCATAAGGCCGGGTAAGGACAAACACGGCTTGTTACACGACGGTCCCATTACTCCTTTTTTTTTCTATTGATTGATTTTTTTCAGACAGGGTTTCTCTGTGTAGCCCTGGCTGTCCTGGAACTCTCTCTGTAGACCAGGCTGGCCTCGAACCCACAGAGATCCATCCACCCAGGCTGCGATCAAAGCCGTGCGCCACCACGCCTGCCTGCGTTTGTTTATTTGTTTGTTTACTTTGATACAGGCTCTCAGGTAGCCAGGCTGCTCTCAAACTGCTCAAACAGCTGTGACTGGCCTTGAACGCTTGACCCTCCTGTTTCCATCTCCAGATGGGATTACAGGCCAGGCCACCACACCTAGTAATTCTACAGACAGACACTGTGTTGCCAGTGACAAGATCAGCTGCCCTGTTCCTGGCGTGGGCGATGGGCAGGGAAAGAATAACCCAGAGCAGGTTCCTATGACCATGTTTATTTCAACCAAAGATGCTCCCCACAAAGAGCTCTCCGTCCCCATCCCCAGGGAAGGTTTCCTGGGGACCCGCTCTGCCACCTCCTGCTGTTTCTGTGGGCGCCTGGGAAGGGATGCTCATCTCAGGCTGGGGTGGGATCTCTTGGTCACCCCGGAGCAGGTCCCCATTTGAAAGAGGGACTGGCCTCAGACACCTCGCGTCTCTTCTGGGCGGGAAGCCATGATCCCTGATCCCTCGGCCAGGCCTCTGTCGCATGGCTCTCCCCGTGCTGGGGAAGGCTGTGTGCCCTTCCTGTCCACAGGACAGGTCCCTGTGCCCCGCCTCAGCCTCAGGCCAGGAGGCGGCTGTACTCGGCCAGGGCTGAGGACTTCTTCACCCCGTCCCAGATCCGGGCGGCGTAGTGGAACCTGTGGACAGGGGCTGCAGTCAGGGTTGGAAACAGCCCAGTAAGTTCCCACATACAAAGGAGCCTGGAGAGGTGGCGCCACCCTGACCCAGTGGCCCTCTTCCCGGGAGGCCGAGGGGCTGGGCTTGGATGAAGGTCCAAGTCTCCACTCAGGGCGGGACCTTGTGGGGAAAGGTGTCTCCACATTCCAACAGCAGCTGCCCAGCCCGGGTCCTCCCCTCCCCTCAGGCCCTGGTTTAGCGGGTGACAGGAACCTGAGCTCTGCCCTAAGCGTTCAGTGAGAGGCGCTCTCAACTCCTCAGTGACTGCAGACGCTGAGGCCCCACGACTCCCATTCACCTCCCTCCCAGACGGCAGGCTGGAGGCACAGAGGGCGACAGGGAGAGATCCCTCGGGACCAAGCACAGCTCCTGTGGGGCTGGGCTCTGGAGACCTTGATCAGATCTCCACAGCTACCTGGGGTCAGTGGCCCTTCTCCGGCTACTAGAAGTGTGTGACTTTGCTATCTGACATTTCCTTGAGCCTAAATTTCCGTCTTTGAGATAGGGTCTCCCTTTGTAGACCAGGCTGGTCTAGAACTCACTATGCAGCTGAAGTTGGCTTTGAACTCACAATGATCCTCCTGCCTCAGTCTCACGTGCTGGGACTCCAGGCATGGGCTCTTTTCCAGAAAAAACCAACCTGAGGCCCGTGGGCTAGTCACACAAAACTCTGCCCTGCTGGCCCTGGGGTCCCTTCCCCTGCAAGGGTGCCCTCCAGGCTGCACTCAGCGGGCTCCTCAAATGCCCCCAAACAAGTCTTACCAGTTCTTCTCGGTGAGGATGGTGTGTGACAGCTGGGGCCGAGCCATGGACATCACCTGGCTGCGGAGCTTGCTAACCAATGACTGGAAGCTGGGGTGACCTCGGTACCCGGGCAGCAGGGAGAAGAGGGGGCTGGAGCCAGGCCCTGCGTGGGGTGGGAGCTTCAGGGTTCTGCCCCAGTACAGCCCCTCCCTGTCCCCCCCATGCTAAGACGTGATCCCCAGAAAGGCCCCAGCCCCGGCGGCAGGCCAGAGCGTTCCCCCAGCCCCGGGGCAGGCCAGAACGTTCCCCCAGCCCCAGGCTGGCTGTCGAGGGTCTGTACCTGGGCGAGGTGGGGTCTCACTCTCTGCCTCACTGTCCATGAAGGGTACCAGGAACAGGTTGACCTCAGAGTCCAGAAAGTCGGGGGGCAGCCCCGGGAAGATGTTGCACTGCAGCATGGACAGCGTCCCTGGGGGACAGACACTTCAGCCTGCAGCCTGGGCTGTGGTCTGTGGGGGGGGGGACCGGGAGCCAGAGGGCTCCTCTGGGGGTCTCTGCCTGGGAGGAGCTGGGATGCTCACCCTTGTAGCGCAGGTGGGAGTGTGCCATGAGCTGGTCAATCATCAGGTGCATCTGTCGTAACTTCCGGGGACAGAAGTCCTCCCTGCGTGCCTTGTTCTGCAGGAAGACTGGGTGCGAGGTGCAGCTGTGAGGCAGACAAGCTTGGCCTAGCCCTGTGAGCCTGAGCTAGACCCAGGCTTGGCCCCCAGGGTTAGACTGAGAACGTGGGGACCCAAGAGGGAGCCCCAGAGACTCCCCTCTCCCAGTCACTAAAGTGCTCCCCAAGTCCTCTTGCCTGGCCACCCCTCTGGCCCCTACTCACCAAGGTGTGGGTAGTACTCGGTGCCCTCGTCCGAGCCCGCAGAACTGCTGGACTCGTGGCTGGGGGACGGGGTGGATGGTTTCACCATCTCTGCCGTTTGCAGGAACCTACAGGTTTGGAGCGAGGGGCTGATGGCCATGCGTGTGCCCCCCGAGATTCCCACACCCTGGAGAGGATGCCCCCCGAGATTCCCACACCCTGGAGAGGATGCCCCCGAGATTCCCACACCCTGGAGAGGATGCCCCCCGAGATTCCCACACCCTGGAGAGGATGCCCCCCGAGATTCCCACACCCTGGAGAGGATGCCCCCCGAGATTCCCACACCCTGGAGAGGATGCCTCCCGAGATTCCCACACCCTGGAGAGGATGCCCCCCTTCCCACACCCTGGAGAGGGTGCCCCCCTTCCCACACCCTGGAGAGGATGCCCCCGAGACGCTGATGAGAGCCACGGCCACGTTCCTCATAAAACTCTAGAGTTACGACAGCAGCTCGTGGCACTACCCGGGTCAACTGCGCGTGTCTGACTTCTCTCATATATATATATATATATATTTGGGTTTTATCAGCAAGTGTCTGTAGTTCCAGCCACTTGGGGTTTAACTGAGTCCACCCCCCCTCAAAAATAAACAAAAAACCCATAACTCGACAAATCAACAATAAAACCAACCAACACCACACCCAAACAGTTTCTGGGCAGTTTTAGGTTCACAGGAAGTAGGGTGCCCATGCCCCTCTGTGCACAGCCTCCCCAGGGACCTGGCAGACAGAGCATGGTCGTCAGTCTCCTAGTCCACCCTGTACACGGCCCTCAGTCTCGGTGCTGAGTCTCTAGAGTCTGGAGACAGGACGGGGCAAGACGTCCTCAGCATTGTGGGGTGGGGGTCACGGTGCTGGAAGTCCCCTGTGCCGTGTTGGTTCACACACCCCTCGTCCCGTCCCCCCCCGCCCTGCCAACGCCATCCCTGTCCGGTTCCCAGGCTTTGCCTGCTCTAGGCTGTCACATGGCTGGAACCGCACCCTCGGCAGCCTTCCCACACCGGCTTCTTAACAATATGCATTTAAGGCTCCCGTTCCTCTCGAGGCTCGACAGCTCGTTCTCCCAGCTGAATAACTCCCCATTGTCTGGACGGGCCCACTTCTCCGTCCATTCACCCACTCAGAGGCATGTCGGCTGCCTGCGAGCGGCCATTATGAACAGAGGAGCTATAAATATCTGCGCAGGTCTTTATGTGGATGTTTTCACTTTGTGCTGTTTTTCTAACACATTTTCCAAGTGTGGAGCAGTAAATAAAACAAACCCGCTATCTAATGGGGAAATGAGACCCGTTAAGTACACGGGCATCTCTCCTACACGTTTACCCATGGTTCCCTGGGCCCACCTGCAGACCCAGGCTTACAACGAGGCTCTGCCCAGGGTCCCAGAGGGCCCAACCCCCACAGGAGCTGCCTGCTCACACCTCGGCCCAGACCTGCACGGGCTCCTTCGTTTACTTGTATGAACGAATCCCGTGGAGGTGGGGGCGTTCCGGAAGTACATCCTCAGGTGTGGCCACACCCGCCTGCTTCCTCGAAAGACTTGTATTGTTGGGGAGACCCACACTCAGCCCCGTCTCTAGAGTCAGCTCCCGCTGACCAAGTCTTCCTCTGTTCCTGCTACTGTGCCTGCCTTTCAGGGTACAGTACTCCACGCTGGGTACTGTGCCACTCGGGGTACAGTACTCCACCCTGGGTACTGTGCCACTCGGGGTATAGTACTCCACGCTGGGTACTGTGCCGCTCGGGGTACAGTACTCCACCCTGGGTACTGTGCCACTCGGGGTATAGTACTCCACCCTGGGTACTGTGCCGCTCGGGTGCTGAGCTTTGAGTCCCTTGACTCAGTCTGCACAGTGAGGACTGTGGAGTACACACACCCTCACACTGGGGACACACCCTCACACTGGGACACGCCCTCACACTGGGGACACACACACCCTCACACTGGGGACACGCCCTCACACTGGGGACACACACACCCTCACACTGGGGACACACCCTCACACTGGGACACGCCCTCACACTGGGGACACACACACCCTCACACTGGGGACACACACACCCTCACACTGGGGACACACCCTCACACTGGGACACGCCCTCACACTGGGGACACACACACCCTCACACTGGGACACGCCCTCACACTGGGGCACACACAGCCTCACACTGGGGACACGCCCTCACACTGGGGACACACACAGCCTCACACTGGGGACACGCCCTCACACTGGGGACACACCCTCACACTGCTGGGCTCCCAACCTTGGAGACACCTACTTTTGGGGACCCCGTCGCTCCCCTGCTCTGCCCGGACCCACCACTTTTCTGCTGCTGCCCAAGGGACCAGAGGACAGTACGCACGCCAGCCGGAACAGGAAAGTCCAAGGGCTGAACAAGCCCGCCCCAGTCCCGCGGCACCGGCCAGTGTCAGACTCCGCGGGTAGGGCTGGGCACCTGTACCAAGGGAGGTCATGGGACCTGCGGTGTCCCTTCAGAGGGGCAAAGCCATGGCGGGCCTCACGCCACGAAGGCATCAGAGATCTGCAAGAGGGATGGCCAGCCAGATGCCCGGGTGTCCTTCCTAGTGGGGTGGGGCCCTATCAGGCAGCACAGGAAGGGCTGCGTCCCCCAGGCCGAGTGAGGTGAGGGCTGTGGGGGGTCCGTGCTTTGCGGGGTGTTGCACAGACCTAGCCACCTTCGTGAGTCCAGCTGTCCCCGCTGGCTAAGGGCCACCACGGCCGGGGCTGTTGACTACTGACTTCCCTCACGGGTGGGAGGGTTATGAGGCCTAACCGCACCTGTGTCAGGGAGAGGGCACAGCAGGCCGGGAGGGACTAGGGAGGGAGTCGTCCTCCCTCAGTGTGCAGAC